TGAAATTGACTACATTTATTATTTACTTAGTTTTGATAATAACTGAGCCAACAATACTCTATACATTTTTTCTTTAAAACTTAATAGATGAGTATTGAGTTCAGATCTCTCGACAAAATTGGACAACATGGAAAAATTCTTGTACATATAACTAATATGTGAAGAAAATTATCACTATATTTGTGTGAGGATAAATTGTATCCTCACTAATCATAAGATGATAATAAACAGCTAATAAACATTAGTGTATAAGAATGCGACGTCTAATAAACTAAAACTAAAGGATTGACCAACGTCTGGCTGTCTATATTGTCGGTCAGCAGAGAGTCTAGTACTCGGAGAGACGATGGCAATCGGATGTGTTTGTTTAACATGATAAATCGTAATAATAATTAGTATTCCTCCAACAAGACGACATAGGGCGGAGATTTTAGTCTAACACGAATACATCAAAAGAATAATGGTAGTATGTCTATTTTCCCTCTTTCATACATAACAATTGATTTCCTTTCTTTTTTTTCTTATGTTAGTCACGCTATACATGCAATTTTACAAGAGACTCACTCTATTCATGATGTAAGATGTACATCGTTTGATTATAAGGTGATATTTCCTGCGTTTGAAGTTCTATATTAAAGTGCACTTTTCAAATGGCCAATGATTCACATCCGCCTATATCTATCTACTTGAAAGATTATTCTAAATGGAGATTGTACTTCGATTAAAAAAGAAAAAAAATAAGAAAACTTATTATATGATTAAAATCAAAGATAGATTACGTCATTTATTATTCTGAAAAGGAAGAAATTGCCAAGTATCCTTTCACTTTTTCACTAGATAATATAGTTACTAATATAATTATAGTTCTAAGATTAATTAACTCTTTAAAATAGTTAATCATACTTCTTCACTTTGTGCTAAAAGCTGTATTTAGACTTAGATGTTGCACAAAATTCAATTAGACATCATCATATTTCATATGAATTTTATTAATCATCTATGTCTGTCTATATTTTATCTCTGATCAAGTATATCAGGATTAAAAGTCAAAAAAAAGATATATACCTTTCAGCTATTTTCGTTTATAATGATAATTATATTAAATATAAGTTTTTAAAAATTATCAACTGTAAGGGTTGATAGGAAAAAAAAAAGATGGAAAATCAAGCCATTAATAATAGGAAAAATGAATATGTAGCGAAAAATTTATATATCGAGTAGAAGAATTTTGAGTATAATATTTCTTACTTTTCCCAATAATGATAGAAAGATTGTTCTAGATATATTTCAAAGATAATATAGTAGTACATATTGATTCATTTAGTGTCATTTTAATGAGCAAATAACCGCTAGTCAAATATTAAAATAAATGTGCTTGACCAAAGAACAAAATTATTGCAGACATGTTTACAAGTGGATATGTTTCTTCTTTTTAATATTTAATCTTTAAGAATCGAAATGTATGTATCAAACTGAAGTGCCAATTCTAATGTGTATGATGCCAGAGGATATTATAGAAGAGAGATGTTTATATAAATAAGTTCAATGAACGATAGACTATACGGTTTTCTACTTTGATGTATTTTGTATATATTTGCATAAGAGTTCAGTTTGTACTGAGTTATCTTACATAGCATAAATTAGAGTATAACTTTGATGATGATGCAATGAAAATTTATTCGAATAAAAGATCAACAGATTAAACGACTTTGAATTACATTGGCTCATTGTTAAATGTTCCATAGTCATCATTACTCTATTTCAATATAGTCATTTGACTAACACTACAATTGTTTAGATTATTTTCGTCATAACAGCGTTTAGTATTTTACACAATGTCTTTTTCATATAGGCGTCAGCATATACATAATGATCATAGGAAAAGAAAGAAGATAAAAAAATTGAGATGAAGGTGTTAACTAATGTTTTTCTCCATTTTTTTTGTTATTGTAATGATTGATGTATCATGTTTTGACTTGAATGTATAGACGATACCAAATGATACGTTCATTTTCACGACGATTTTATAATATAATCAAAAGTCGATACCGTCTTTATATATATATACAGAGACACCGTATGATTAAAGTCAGATTAATTTTGGCTACAGACAATTGTTTTCTCAATTTTTAACTAAAAATGAAGCTTAAGAAATATTTGAATAATAATGATTTAGATTTTTTCAATTAACGGACCAACAGTATTAGATATGATTAGAGAGCTAAAGATTTTATATAACCCGATGTTCACTGTCTCTCATATCTGGTGCATTTATTTTGTCATTACTAATAATTTTTAAAATGATGTGTTAAACTAGGTGTATATGTGTGTGTATGTACATAAGCCAGCCATTTTTGATGACCTTTTCGAATAAGATAGAGAAAAGTGATTTATTCCTATGATCAATATAGATTGTGCAATAATTACATTGTGCAAGTATTGAGTTTACGAAATAAGATTTTTGAAGAAGTATACCAAAAGATCATCTGGATTTTAGTTTAACTTTACAAGCAAAGGACAGTACAATAATATTGTTAGTTATATCATTTTTTTTACATTATTGTTAAACAAAATCGTGAGGGTGAAGGTTTTCTTAGTTGTCTATATTAATTATCCGATAAACATTTTTTTTTAGACAATAATTAAGTTCAGGTGTGTTGTTGAACCAAAATCTAAAAGAGTTTGATAATTATTTTTATAGGTTCTTCATCTATAGAATGATAAGATGACGTTTACACGTATGATCATGAATCTTCAGAAGTAATTTTGTTGTTATCATCTTAAGCAGTTTATATTATTTTCGACATTCGTCAATTGTAGGAATAATATAATTAGCAAACGGGAGAAATTTTTTTGATTGCAGACCTTATATGCGGCACAAATTGAGAGTTATTAGTATACATATGTGCAATCATTATCATCTACCATTTGTTTTGTTTTATATGATAAATAATTAGCTTCTCTTGAGATACATTGAAGAATATGTTCAATCTGAACAAAACAAAAACAATTCAAATGTCTTCTTATCGAACTAATTAACAATAAAATGGAATGACCTTGTTTTGATAGTAACAGTTTCTATTATAAGTTAATTAAGATACGGTAAGTTAACATCAGACACACGTCTGCTAGAGATTGTCTCTCTCTCTCTCTCTCTCTCCCTCATGAATACAACTGTTTCTTGCTTTTGAACATACTTCAAGAAAGAAACTCCGTTTAAATCTACATACATATTTACTTAACTTATGTACAAACATTTCAAATAGAAAAATTAATTTTCAAAATCACACACACACATATGCACGTCATACAGAGTTTGCATGCAATCGTCAAGTTATGTAATGATGACAAAAGAAAACCGCCACGGAGAGAGAATGTTAATGACAAAGGAAACACGATGTAACAATTGGTTGTGAGAGCGATGAATAAATGTATTATACGACCAGCAAGCACCATCATGTTTTAATAATGGTAATAAAGAACGATGAATTTAATATGCATGCGAAAACGAGGGAATAAATTGTTATATCTATCCATTTTAATGAATCAATGAACATAGACTCTATTATATAGTCACTCATACAGTTAAGAAAACTGACAATTATTGTTAAAATAATTTGTCTCAAACAAAAAAAAAAAATTGTGTAGATAAATGTCAAAATCAAAATTATCAGTGATGCCACGCATTATTAGAAATGTCTCTAATTGCTATTCTTGAGAAAAAATATAAACAGCTATTTAATAGAAATGATCAGATGAAACTTTGAACAATTTTCCTGTTGCAAGAATCAGAATGGGAATGATAAAATTTTGCAACCGTAATTGATGTTTTTGTTTTAAAAGTTTTTCTAAAACCAGTAATAATGGATAAAAATTTTCCAGTTAGAACACACGATATTCTTCAGATACAAAAAACTAGTTAGTTATTCTTCATTTTGATCTGATTTATTTACACTAAGCTTAAACGTTATTGACTAAACAGATTTAGTATTTGTATGGTACTCTGCTACTCCTCTCATCAATTCGTTAACGTTTATGTTTCTGTGTAACGTGTATACAATAGATTCATGTGTAAGATACAAAACTATTGAAAACGACTCAAATCTCGCAATAGAATTAGACAAAGATAAAATTTTTTTTGTTTATTCTTGTCTGTAAATTATAAAAAAACAATTATTTCTATACACACACATACACACGTTCACAATATGAGTGAGAGCATATCTGACAATGAACAAATTATCAGAAACATATATATACAGTAATAATGAGAAGAAACAGGTAGAAAAACAAACTTACAGAATAAAAAAAGATATACATTAAAGGACACATGCAGTTTGGAAGAAAAATAAGCATAGTATGCATAGTGTGACAAAGCCGACCATAAAGAAAAAAACATAAGAATTAAAACAGAAATAAAACCGGTTTACGAGCTCTAGGCAGAATACTTTTGATATTTCTAACCCTCCAAAATACTTTATGACAATAAAACTTATGAATATCCAATTAAAATTTGATATAAATAGCTACAACTGTTACAGTTCTCGTCTATCTACAGTTTTAAAAAAGTACTTCGACAGGTGAAAACTGTTACTATTTCCTGATATAGTTTAAAGCAACGTATGAGTAAAGTAAAAAGATGTTCCCTGAGCCTTATAGATAAAATCATAGGTACAAAGTGTTTATAACCACTGATATGATACTCATTTAACATTCATATAGTTCTACATAGCCTTAGCCAAGAAATCAGTCAGTCTTATATTGGTCTTGTAAATGAAACATCTGTTAAACATAATCTTATATTGACTGTTATTTAGATGTCATGGAGTGTGATTATTTGAAAAGCATTTTGATGACCATCAAAGGGACAGAACTACTAGTCTAGAGGGAATACATGATCGTATTCTAATCTGATTATTACACAGCATGCTTGGCCGCCATGTTTAGTCGAAAAAGAAGAGCACCGGCAAATGAACAAGAGATGTATCTCTTATCTTTCTTTACAAATAGTATTCATTTAATGGCGTTATATTCAATGTTGTACAATTCAATATTTTTCGATATTCATCTTCACTTTTAAAAAAATCCATTGAATCATCTTTTTTTGTTGGAGATAATTTTGATTGTTGTTGCTGTTCTCTTAATCGTCTAATATGAATCATGTGTGGTAATTTTGGCTCCGTTCTTATTGATGAATCATAATTAGGATCCGTCAATTGTGTTTTATATTGTTGAGTATGACTACGAGATGTTTGACATGTCGTTATTACAGCAGCAGGATTATTATCATTACTATTACGATTACTAAAGACAGGACGAGAAGAAGAACTTGTCAATGAATTTATTAATGTTGCATGATGTTTTAATGAGGATGTTGTTTGTGAAAGATTATGATGGCTGTTGTTGCTGTTGTTTGCTGAAGATGATAATGAAGACGTAGATGGAGAATGGTTGTTATTATCGTTATCTTTTTGGATGAAAATATAATTTTCATTTAAAAGAATTCTACCAGTTTCGGACGATTCAATAGTGGTGACTGGTGTCGATGGAGGCGCAATGCCATCGTTTGATGATATTAAACGTCCATTATGATACATCTCCATATCGGAACTTCCATAACAACTGTCATTATAAGAACTTTCATCATTCACTGTATCTTCACTGGATCGACTGCTGGCAGCTATAGAGGCTTGTAATTTATTATAAGGGCTGCTGGCATCTAAAAACAATTAGTAGACACAATAAAAACCATATAACTAAGAGTGACATTTGATACTTACCACTGCGGTGACTCGCTGTACCACCCTCACCCAAAGAATTATCATTCAACAGGCAATGACTCTAAACATACAGAAAAATATCTTACAATACTTTTAATTGATTCAATGAGTAACAGGATGAAAGTTGTTTTTTAAACATATTTGAGCTCATTCTCATTTAGCAGATAGAGGGTTTGGCTCTTTGACATTTAGTTTTCAAGTTGTTAGAAGTACATGTAACAATCATAGACTAATTTAGAAATACGATAAAAATATTGCCTTTATTGTGAAGGCAGTATTGTTTTAGTATCGATTAATCAGACTTGTATAAGTCCATTTGTCCTTTAAATTTAAACGTATGTAAAAGAACCTTTTAGATAATAGAGTAAAAAGAGTATATGTTAACCTGACTTAGACAAAAAGCGGATTAGACCAAAAGTAGACATATTCATTAAACATACTATAGTTATATTAATGAAAAGAATAACATTATAATCAGGTTCAGTAAAGACAATGAGATAGCACGTGCTTTTCTTTCATTTATTTGTCTGATAAAATCAGATCATCGCGTTGTGTTTGTTTTAGAAAGAATTACTATTCAACACTGTCATTTACTAAATTCTGAATTGAACAATAGGCGGAGACAGACGCTTATCTGGAAGAGAAAAATAAAAAGTTCATTTAGTGATGACAGGTAGATGTATTGTTCATTGAGAAAGGTTAAAATATATTATTCAAAGAAATATCTTGTCAAACAAAACATCACTGTATTTTTAATGACTTAAACTTCACTACAGCAGAGTGATTGAACTTTTATTGACTTAAATGTATGTATGAGTATATATATATATGTATGAACTGCCTCAAGGTTATATCATTTCTAATACATGCACACACAAGAAAAAAGTTCAATTTATTGAATAACAGAGAAAAATGTGATATTATCTTTGCATACAAAACCCAAGGCTAAGTTTACCATTTTCATACAGGCCCCAACAGTACAAATAGAAAGAAACAAAGTAACCAAATATGAGAATGTTGATTTTATTTAAAAACATAATTCATTGTTGAAGAATAACGTTAAATTAAGATTTAGAGAAGAAAAGAATTTGAGATTTACTTAATAAATTCAATTGAACTAGAAAAAAATTAAATTTCTTCTTAAATAGTACCAACTGAATCATATGTTATTTGAATCTACACATGTTATAATGTATAGTTAATATAGTTTATTTATCAAACCTTACAAATCTTTCATTTTCTCTTCTCTCACTTTATATTTAAACTAAAGTTATATTACTTTTGTTCATCACCACTTCTACGTTCCTCCTCCTTTAGGGCTAGAATGATAATCAAATTTCTAAGTGTTAGAAAATATCTTGATATCCATATTATTTCATACATCACATATGACAAAAAAAAAAGCGTTCATTGAACATCATTTACACGTGTAAATCGAACAATATAGATCACTAACTTATGCACATATAGTAGTTTAAGTGTTCAATAGACCGTTCAAAAATAAGAAAATGAGAAGAATTCTGTTATAAATATAGTATTATCTTACAGAAAGAGTAATAATAAAATGAAGAAACTGTTCTTTATTTTCAATAGAAATTATTCATATATATAAGATTAAATTGAAAAATATTGATTGATTACTGAATTTTGAACTCTTTCTGTATCAAAAAGATCAGAAGAACGATACTGATATGTTATATGATATAAATAATAGTCAAAAACTTACTTCAGCATAATAAACTCCTTTTTTGTTTGCTTGCGATGTTGTTAATAATGTGAATCGTTTATTATTATTCAGATTTTTTGTTATTAAACATGATTTTAGTTTTTCCACATCTCTATTATGGTGTTGTAATAAATCTTTGTTCTTTTTTCGATTATTTCGACTAATTTTAATCCATTCATAAAATCGTTTTCGACACGATATACACGAAATAAAGCAGACAATAACGAGAGCAAGACAAAGTAAGATGACCGTAATTAGAATAATAAACATTTCTATTGTTAATTTTTGATATTTCAATTTATTTTTCTTTGGAACAAGAAATGTATTTTCGCGTGCTGTTGATTTGGTGGTAGTTGTTGTTTTTGATCGATAATTAGATAATATTTCATCTCGAGATAAAATATTATCATAAATAAGTAGTCGAATCGTTTCAAATGTTAATTTTTCATAAGGTAGATCATTATCGTTAATTACAATTGATAATTCATATATGCCATTCAAATGTTTATTTAAGATTTTTAAGATTCCATTTGAATTTAATTCAAACAATGATATCATAGTTTCATTAGGTTGATTTTTATCAAATTGAAATGTTATATTCGACGTCAACGATCGATCATTATCATTAGCACGTAGAATAAACAGTGATGTATTCAAAATATTGATATAAGCATTGATACCATCTTTATCTTGTTTAGGCCATAGTAATTCTGGTTTATATTCATTCACATCTAAATTTAACATATTTATTCATTTTATCTTACCTTCTACACTATTTTAACTTACTTTGTAAACAAACTTGAACAGTTGCTGTTGAATTTAAACGTTTTGGATAACCATTATCTATTGCTAATACAATCATTTCATAACAAGTTACATTCATATCATAATCTAATTGATCATTAACGAATAATTCTCCAGTCAATTTTGAAATGATAAATTTGTCATTATTTAATATTTTATATTCAATTAAACTATTATTTCCTTCGTCTTTGTCAAATGCTCTTATAAATCCAATTGATGTGTTTAACGGACTATCTTCTCGAATATCATTGAATACATAGGATTGTTTTTCTAAAATTGGCTGATGATCATTAATATCATTTACATGAATTATATATGACACATTTGTCGATAAATGAATGAGATAACCGTTATCTTCTGCCTTTATTGTTAAATTATACAATGATTTTTCTTCACGATCAACTTTTTGTAAAAGTTTTAGTTCACCTAAATGGAAAATATACAGAGACAATGTTTATCATGCTCCACTAAATTAGCTTTACCTGTTGTTGAATTAATATAAAAATAATATTGATCACTGCTATCACTACTGATCAGTTGATATGTTACACGGCCATTGTCATTCGAATCAAGATCTATTGCTTCCACTCTCTTCAATTTTACATCTAACGTTTCTTCGGGTATATTTATTTCATATGTTTTTTCCTTAAACATAGGATATTCATCATTGACATCGTTTACAAAAATGCGCAGTTGTCTTGTTGTACGTAGTCGTTGTTTAATAGCAAGATCTTCGACAACAATTTGAATTGCGTATTCTGATTTTTGTTCACGATCGAATATTTGTGATGTATAGAGAGCAAACATGTTTCCCAATGAATTTGTTATGTTTAGCATTGATTTTATTCGTTGATCACCATCTGTACTTTCGAACCAGCATTGTACATCACCATTAAGATCAGAATCTAAATCTTGCACAATAATATGCATCAACAGTGTCTGAATGGGAGTATCTTCACCAATGTATAAAGTATCATTAGAAAGTAAAAAATATTCAGATACACGTAGATTCATTGTTGGCTGATTGTCATTTTCATCTAAAATAAAAATAAAAATGAAATAGGAGAAATGGTGAATTGAACACACAAACCTTCAACGTTGATTATAATGGTGGCATACACAGGCACTGATCCTGGACCACAGTCCTGAGCACTAATTTGTAGACGATATTCTTTGTATTGTTCATAATCTAATTGTTTAATTAGAAATAATTGACCAGTTTCATCATCGAGACGAAATGGAATTTGTCGTTGTTCATCTTGACTGTGTTTATTTGAGAAATTATATTTAACATGACCATTTTCATTTGAATCATTATCGTATGCATGAACAGTGAGTAATGGTTGAGTAATTGAGGGTGTTTGAGATTCTGATATGTTTATGATATATGACGATTTTTCAAATACAGGTATATGATCGTTAATGTCCGTTATATAGATTTTGACAGGCGTTGAAGATGTTAAATTACCACGATCTGTAGCAGTTAAATAAAATTCATAATACGACTTTGTTTCACGATCAAGTGGTTCAGTTACATTAAGCGCTAAGACAAGATATATGAATATTAATTGAGTTATATAAGATTGAACAAGTATTCATACCGATTTGATTTGAGCCAAACGATACGAGTTCAAATGGATTTAATCTCTTAGACAATCGATGATGTTGGTATTGATTTTTTTCAACAGGTAAATGATCATCTAACCAATAAATTAATTCATCATCGTCTCCATCTTTGTCAGTTGCACTTGATATTGGTAGCACATGGCCAACTAAAAATAAGAAAAAACATTACATAGTTTCACAGATCTGAAATTCATGGAAAAACCTTTGACACTTCTAACTTCCTGCCACATTTTTTGACAAACATACTGATTAGATCGCCGAATAATTCAAACGTTAGCCATATATTCTTCTTCTCAATAGATTCTATAGACTCAGTAGTGAGATTTTGAGTCGATGCCGCCATAATTTAAGAAAATGAATTATTGCATGTTATTCATATGTCGCACAATAGTCGTTAAAAGAATCCTTTTTCTGTATAATACATTTGATACAATTTAGACAATCGTTTCTGTCGACACGAATTAACAGATCAAAAAGATCATTTACAGTCTATACACAATATAAGTTTTTAATCCTATATTAGATCAGCTGTTATTATTCGTAGTCATGTCATTTCTAATCTTTCGGTACCATGTCTTATTAAACAATATATAATGATGATGACTTTCACTTACCTGGTACACCTTCACTAATATTTAATTCAATTTTATCATCAAATTGTGGTCGAAATTCATTGACATCCACAACATTTAATATCAACGATATAATATCTTTTGGTTGTCCACCAAATTCTTTTAATACAAAATCCATTTCAATTTCACATGGACGACATATTGATTTTTCACATAATTTAATTCGACAAAATTCTTCACGATCAATTAATCGTGATGTTCGTAATTTTTGTCCATCAACAAGAAAATATGTAGCATAGGGTGAATTTGAATTTAAAAATTCAATTGTTTGTTGTCCAGAATGATGTGATGAATTTAACATTTCGACTAATGATGTAACTGTATGGTACAGATCAACATTCTCTTTAACAGATGAACGATATTTTAAACGCGGTACACAGATAGTAAGTTTAATTAATGTTATTAAAATAATAATAATATGAGTATCCATTTCGTAGTAAATAGTTGTTGTTATGTATCAGTTCTTTATTTCATAGAAAGAGAGATATACTACACGCAAAAGAAAATAAATGAACCTAAACGAACAATAGAGAGAGATAAGAATAAGGAAGAAAAAGAAAAATCGTTTAGAACTTATGAGGCTAATCAAATAGTGTATTCACTAGTTATAACATCGACTATAGGTGATAAATGATTAGTGTCTATTATTTTATATAAGATTCACACATATTTTTACGCTTTAGATTGAGAGAAAAAAGGGTGAGAAAGTGTTACATCATTGTGTCTTGTTGTTCGTTGTTCATCTATTGACATTTTGGCAATGAAGTATTTCAATCACAGCCCATAAAATACTATCGCTCCATGAGCATGAGCAACTGTTCTAAATCGTTTACATTTTATGTTTCAATCTGATTTTGTCGTCTAATAGATACAAATGATATGCTATCTGATGATGATGTTGACAATGGTAGACAAACGATAGATTATTTTTTTTTGTTTTATTCTGTACAATATTTGCCTGCTGCTGATACTATTATTGTAATATTCAGAGAGAACAAAAGAAAAGAAGACTGTATCCGACCCTGATCTTAGTAAATATCGTTAATTTTTCTAATAGGAATAATATTAGTGTTTTGTTGTTAACACATAAAAAAGCAACGAGAAAGTCGTTATTAGTCATTTATGCAACAAACTGACAATAGAAAAATATCATAGGATAAAATTATCAGTCGCAGAGAATCTTACAGATAATCTAGCTTAAATAATGTTCCATTAACAGCACTTATAACAATGATGCAATGATCTATTTTTTCCCGTCTCAAACTCAACCTGTAAGTTCCGTCTATTTATGATCATTGTTTCTGGCTACCTAAAAGCACATCTATCCTGTTTTATCGAAACCGTATCACTTTTTCTATAAAAAAATTCTCTGAAAGAGTTATGGATATAAAACACACTTCAAATTTATGCTTCTTAAACTTATACTACTATACTCAAAATAACATTAAGGAAGGAGACACTCGCTCTTGGAAAAGGTTACTTTTGATTATTCTTCATATAACAGTACAGCAGGAATTGGTCACCTACTTCTTACATTTTTTTTCTCCTACTATCCATACAAACTAAATAAACACCTTGATAGTCATTATTGAAAAATGACAACTCATAAATAGTCTATTTAATGTTAAATACTTGAGATGTATGAACAGTGAGTGGAGATAGATACACATACCTGCCTCGAAAGTATAGTTAATGGTGTATTCAAATTAAATGTTCTCAAGTTGTTTCTTTCATGTGTTACAAATAGATGTATGATACAACGCAATGGCACCAATATGTTCAAAATCTAAAAGATGGGAGAAAAAGAAAATCCTATTTACGCAGTAAAAAAGAAGAAAAGAGAGAAAACGAAAAAAAAATTTTCCTCCAGAAAAAGAGAGAGAGAGAGAGAAAGTGCACTATATATGTGTGTGTGTAAAAGATAAATGTGTCAGGAAGGAAGTATCTGACCAAACGATGGACTTTATATATTGATAAGATCAAATCAATATAATAAATAATATGAACGTAATTTATTGCAGAAAATTCGTTTTAAAGATGAACAACATTAGCTAATATTGGACATTCATCTCATAGAACTTCATTCAGTTCCGTTGTGTAATTCTCTCTTTTTAATGACAATAATTGTGTTTCTGTTCTATCGATATGATCTGATTTCGTTAACACATGTGCTCTGCAATTTAGAATCGATCCGATAAGGTTCAAAAAGAAAATCTGATAATTATTCCCAACTGAATTCAAATCTCTCTTTATACATGACTTTTCAATGTCATCGTCATACAATTGCTCTTAAAAATGTAAAATGAACACCAATTTATTGTTCTCTAAGAGAAACAGCAAAAAAAATAGAAAAAAATTTAGTAATTAGCAATTGCTGCTCATTTTGAGAACATCTATCTGATTTTCGTTTTCGAAACATTATCTTTCTCTCTCTCCCTCTCTTACAAAAAAAAGTATTTTCCGTGAAAATAATTTTTTACCGTTAAACAATTAAATCACAACGATGCTACATAACTCTCAAGAGAAGCACTTTCTCTTCTTCCATAGGATTAATTTAAACTAGCATGTTTTAAACGGAAATTTGTATGTGTGGCGAGTTATTGAGTTATGATGATCATGTAATCATAACTTCTCAAAAGACAACAACTAACGAACGAACTACATTTTATGGAATATAGCTGCCTTAAGGCTACTATTATAAGAGAGAGTAGAAATGTTTCTTCTTGCTTTAAGAAGATGTGTGTATTAATTTACGCCAAACGAATATATAGATAAAGTCATCTTGTATGTATGCGTGTGCTGTCTAAGTGATTAACATATGTGTTTCTTCCACCATAAAAATGAGATCAGTTCGAAATCTCATGAAACCGACAATTTTTATTTTTAGCGTGCGAAGAGAAGAATATAGACGAGATTCATCATGCCGCAAAGCAAATTCAAATCCATGAAGGATCACTATAAATCTATTATTCGAAACAAAAATGAATTGTACTTGAATTTGCAGATCAACTATTTTCTTTTCTTTATTAAAAAGTTTCGAAGAGTGTAAAACATTATAAAAAATCGAAAGTTTACTGAAATACCGAGTTCAATATAAAGCAAACGATACTCGTTCTCGTATAGCGTCAATATTAGAATGTTGGAATTAGAAGAAAACTTAATTGGTGGATATCAGAGGCGGGAGAACACTTTCAATTCAAGGTAGGCTGAAACTTTATTCGACCTTGCCCGCTAGGAACCTTTTTGAGGACCTTGGTATGCAGTATTTTTTCAGCGTTTTGAAGATTAGTGACGTCGTGGTCGTTCGACAGATGTAAGTTTCGACTCTTTAGCTCGCCAAAGATGAAATTTTGTTTTGGTTGTTCACAGGCATTAACAGCTAGTTTTAGGTTATTCAGTTGACTAGAAAAAACTCTAAGTCATTCATATCAATAATGTCATTATCATCCAAATTTATTTATTGCTTATTCGTTTTTATCCTTTCCTGTCACAGCGGCGAGAAATGGAAGTCCGTTTAGTCGATGGAAACTTATCAAGAATTGTTTAAGGTCTACGATGAGTGATAAAAAGGTTACTTCATTTAATGTTATGCTTGGTAGAAAGAAATTTTTTTAACAGCCAGTGTGCTACACAATTAGCCAGAATATGAGAAACACATAAACATCATCGAATGCCTTTAAAATTAATTTTATGAATGAACTAAATTAAGGACGTTTTTCGCCAAGAAGAAGCAAAAGATTAGCGCGTCTAATAGTGTCTCTTAAAATGGAGTGAATATAAAAGCAAATTGTTTTTTTCTTACTTTTATGGCTTTCTCCTAAAAAAGTTTACACTCTTACGTTTTTCTCTCATTATGGCTTCAGTATGTGATTTCAGGATAGGCTCGGCCCCTTTGAGCGTAACGGTTGTGGCGCCTATATTGGATATTGCTATGTTTCAAATGAACGTCTAACGACAACTGTGCTCAAATTTTATCGGTAAGCACTTAGTATCAAACAGCACGAGTAACACATCACCAGTGTAGCATGCATGCATACATAGAACGACACCTTCCCTACAGTCAATAACCGTGAAAGAAAAGTCATTTATCTCTTACTAGGCAACAAACTGTACCAGATATGACCAGAAGGTTCACAGGATGAAGAATTCTTTCCCTTCTCGTGCACATATACTAAACCACACACGAGCTCTCTTGTAATCTGAAGGATACATATCGTACGTCTCAATACAATAACTAAGCTGTCGAACGAGCAATCCGAAGCACATGAACATAACTAACTTGTTCAAAGTTAGTGCACGGCTCGCTATTACTGAGGTTCGAACATATTACCTTTGAAGGATATGACAAACAAAGTAACCGTTAAGTCCAGCTCTTCAACAATATTAAAGCATGCCACGTGAAAAAGAATGAGATTTATTATAATTTTAATCATAAAGACACCAGTAACAGTTTTTTCTAATATATTTACATAGCTAACTCTTTCACTTCTAGTTTCAAAATCAAAAAATTAGCAAATTTACAAGGATTTTCCCACGTATCTACGGAAGTGTCTAATAGTACACTCATTAAGTGCTAACAAGCAAATAAATTATAATTTGTCATGCGTATATGCACACCTGGCAATTTTCAAACAAAAATTGTTAACTTACGCTTTTTTCTTCTCTTAAGTTTTCTGTAAATGTTATTTTTAATAGTCAAAAATAAAATTAATTGTTATTAATTGTCACCCATTATTTATCAACATTCTTTGTTTCATCTAGTTTTGATCTCTATTAAAGCGGAATAATAATAAATATGTTACCATAATTTGTTTTTTCAACCATTAAAGGATTTCAAATTTCTTTCTATACTCTTCATTAGTCTGATGTTAGAAGAGAAAAAGGAAATCTACATAGTGCATTTTTTTTCCTTGTTAAGGATTGCCTCCTACTTCTCCGTTTATTTCTCTCTCTTTCGTCTAACACTTATAATTAACCCATTACAGATAGGCTCTATGTCTTTGAAAGTCAATAAAATAGCGATATTAAAGATCATCACGTTCTTTAATGACATTTTCTATGCTTTTCTATGTGAATATTTCCTTGTTATGGACAATGGTCAAAAGCGATGGTGACAAGTAAAAAAAAGATTCCAATAAAATTACATACAGACACACACACACGCATATATGTACATATATATATATATTAATGTTCATCATTTATAAGTGTGACATTTAAATTTTTCTCGTTTTCTCTTTGTCTTGTTTAGTTATGAATTATAGACTGTATAGAACAGAGAAAAGTCCATAGTTCTCTCTTTTTTTCTTTATGTTTGTAGTCAATTATTGAACATTAATGGAGAGAGTCGTTTCTAACTGACATAGACATGTTATTGAACAATTCACTTCCTATCTTGATTTACAACTTGTCAATGTAAAAATGCAATTA